ATCTTCTGTATCATGTCTGTGCTTCGCCTGCAGACTGTCGAGTGTGAGGAAGGAAGCGAAGATGATGAGTCTCTCCGAGAAATGGTGGAGCTGGCCGCACAGAGACTGTATGAGGCGCTCACGCCGGTGCACTGAGCCCGCCGGCCTGGATGTGCCGGAACGTTCCTGTGATGCGCGCGTTTACTTCTGTTCCTTAGAGGAAACACATTCCTTTCTCGGGGCGGCCTGTTTACTTTGGACGTCTAACGGCTTTTATTCCAGTGGTTAGCATCCCATAAAGTACCAACGAATCTGTTCATTACTTTGGAACTGCTGAATAAACCGTTTAGAATTCATTGACTCCACGTCTAGGCACGGATGCAGCTCCCAGTAAACTTTAAAAATCTGCTCACAGCGCCCTGGCCAGGTGGCTCAGAGCCCCGCTGTTTGGAGCAACGTCCTGTGCACCCAAACGTCGCGGCTCCATTCCCGTCGGGGCACATCCCCAGGCTGCAGGTTCACCCCCAGTCGGCATGACCGATATTTCCTCCCTTCCTCTCTAAAATCAATAAACATGCCCTCAGGTGGGGACTGTTCATTAAATCATAGCAACTGAATCAGAATATCTCACATTTTAAGAAAATACACAGTAACTTTTATTTTCGTATTTATTTTGTGAATTGGAGTTAATTTCTCGAGATTATCACAAAAGTTTTGAGCCCTTTTCTACCTCTTCCCTCCTGATCCTTTTGCCAAGGTCCTTAGTGTCCACATTACAGCTTTTGGGGTTCAGTGATATTTCCTTTGTTTAATAGCCACATATTCCGTTTCAGAGATGTGAAGATTTACACTTTTTTTAAAAATATATTTTATTGATTTTTTACAGAGAGGAAGGGAGGGGACAGAGAGAAACATCGATCAGCTGCCTCCTGCACACCTCCTACTGGGGATGTGCCCGCAACCCAGCTACATGCCCTTGACCAGAATCGAACCTGGGACCTTTCAGTCCGCAGGCCGACGCTCTATCCACTGAGCCAAACCGGTTTCGGCAGATTACACTCTTTATGCCTCTAGTTTCAGGGGACTTGGGGGATAGGTGGCTTGTTTCCTATGTAAATTGATTGTGCAGTTTCCTCAGGTAGCGGAGTTCAGACTTGCAAATGGCACAGGCGCATCCGGTGCTGCTGCTGAGGGAGAGGTCAGCCCGGCCAGGGCTAACTCGGCATCTGTCGACGCAGAGGGACAGGCTGTGCGTGCGTCGCTCCTCCCCTCACAGCCTAACCCAAGAGGTGCTCGCACTCAGTCCAGCTACAGACACCAGCCATCCAGCCACTACCTTCCACCAGCACTGTTTACGCCTCACCTCTTGGTGACTTATAAACCTGTAACCACTGATGGTGCATTTCCTGCGCTTGGGTGACACACTTCACTGTGTAGATCTTTTTATGTGAAATACATTTATTTCTGTAATGTAGCCAACTTTATCTTTGGCCCAAACCATAGGTCTAAGGGTCATATGAGATATTTTGCAATTATAGTTAGCCCTTAGCTGGTTTTGCTCAGTGGATAGAGCGTCAGCCTGCGGACTGAAGGGTTCTGGGTTCAATTCCAGTCAGGGGCGTGTGCCTGGGTTGCGGGCTGAGTCTCCAGTAGGATGTGCAGGAGCCAGCTGATCTATGAGTCTCATCATTGATGTGTTTTTTGGGGTTTTTTTGTTTTGATGTGATTTTTTTTAATATACAGAGAGGAAGGGAGAGGGATAGAGAATTAGAAACATTGATGAGAGAGAAATGATCAGCTGCCTCCTGCACACCCGCTACTGGGAATGTGCCCTTGACCCGCTGGAACCTGAGACCCTTCAATCTGCAGGCCGGCGCTCTATCCACTGAGCCAAACCAGTTAGGGCTCATTGATGTTTCTATCTCCCTCTTCCTCTCAAATTAATAAAAATCTGTTTTTAAAAATTATAATTAAAAAAAATTATGTTCTGCCCTGACCGGTTTGGCTCAGTGGATATCTCTATCCCTCTCCCTTCTTCTCTGTAAAAAATCAATAAAATATATATTTTTTAAAAATTATGTTCTATTGATTTTAAAGGGAGAGAGAAACATCCATCAGTTGCCTCCTGTATGCACCCTGACCAGGGATCAAACCCCAAACCTGGATATGTATTATTCCTTGACTGGCGATCGAACTGGTGACTCAGTGCATGGGACCGTGCTCAGCCAACTGAGCCACACTGTCCTGGCTATTACGATTTTTAAGCTACAAAACATACATGTGTAATATCTGACTGATGTATACAGCAAGCAGGGAGTGTCCTTTCCTCGGCCCCTTCTCCAGGGCGGCCCCTTGAGTCCGAGTCACTGTCACTGTCCTCCCACCGCTTCCTGCTACCCCTGGCCTCTCCCCTGTGCAGGCCGAGCTCAGACCGGACCGGCCGCCCTGGGGAAGCGCCACCCTTTTGCTGCAGGAGGGCCTTGCCTTCCATGTGGAACGTGCCGCATCGGTGGGCTCCATAGAGCAAGCCCAGCAGCGGCTGTTGCCAAGATGCAGCCCCTGACCCTCAGGCTTCACTGACGAGGATGCGGTGCAAGCGCCTGGGCTGGCGGGCCCTCCTGGGCTGCGGGGTGGAGGCACACGGGAGCGCGGAGCACACCGATG